GGGGGGGGGGGCACAACCAAAAAAGTTTGAGAACCACTGGACTAACAACAAAGTTTTGCGTTCTGAAACTTGCAGGATGTTTTTATAGTACAATGACCTCTTATATGTCAAAAGATATAGGGAATTTTGTTTTCTCAGTTCATGACCCCTTTAATATTCCACGCTGAAAATGACCATTTTTTAACAGAAGCAAAACATGCCGATACATGTATCTTTAAATGCAAATGAGCTGCTGCTACCCGCCCCTTTTCCAGAAGAGGGCGGAGCTTGTGCCTCACATACTCTGCCAAAACAAAACATCTGTTTGGTCCTGATTATCATGTCTCACAGTCATGCTCACGTGACATTACAGTTCTTCGACATCATGAAAGTTTATTATTTGCAAGCGTTTTAAAGCCATATCACTATAAACTTCTGATATATGGTGTTCTGCGCGTGCACCGAGATCTGGCTGTCAGATGGCGCGTTGTGTGAGTACTAAACTACGTTCTCTTTTGTGTCTTATTACACTTAAACTGTCAAATACACAAGGTTACGTCAAAAGCACATAACCACAGTCGGTTATGTCTGTGAACTTAAACAACTGGGAAAGAAATGGCATGTGTATATTAGCAGTCATTAAATGCCGTTCATAATGTGTTGAAATCACTGGGTAGTTTTTTTGTCCAGCTAAAAAGTACTTCAAATTAAAGATTCATAAAGGCAGATCATTTGTACGAGCACCAGAGGTCTGTCAGATTAAGGTTATATGTCTTACCTCTGTTGAACTACAGCGCTTTAAAAAGAGTCCAGCTGTTTGAAAGAGTGACTAATTTATGAATTCTGCTTCCCTCATGAAACTCAATTCGTTCTGAGGAAATAAAAGCGAAACGCTCCAAACCCTGCCTGCTCTGGCAGCGCCACTGTTCCCAGAGCAATTAGCCAAGTGAAAGAAAAATGTAATTACAGTGGCTAGTTATCATGGATTTATAAATAAAAGATCCCGAACTGTCCAAAAAAAATTAATTGCGGGAGTCAAAGTTAGCTGCAATAGAGCGAGCGTTCGCGCCGCTGACCGTCAGGAATAACCGCGAACACACGGATCGCCCGTTATCTGCTAATTAACGATACGAGGCAGACCACAGGTGCGGTATACAAGAGTAATCTTCTGTACAATTTCACATCATGATTCCCTAATTAAGAATCTAATTAGAATATAATGAATTCAGCTATAACTTAACAATGTTAATATTTCACTTCTTACAGTGGTTTTAGACCATGATTTAGCACAAATCCATCTGTAGTTATTGTAGTCAGTCAGACCTCCCTGATTTCAGATGCTTTTCAATCCTCGCACAAATACAAATATTTTAAAAATACATGAATATGTTTCATACATAATATTTTTGTTTGTTGGGTCACTCCTCTTTCTGTCTCGTGGGTAAAAACTTTTCTGGCGATACAGTATTTTCCTGGTCACATTTCAAAATCAAAAATAAAAAGGATAAACTATATTTTTCCACACTAAATTCTTATAACCGCATTGAGGAAAAAATAAATTCTCATGAATTTATGACAACATGAATAAATAGTAATAATTTGAATACTTATATTTACAAAATTTATTTAATACTATATTATAAATAAATAATATATCTAAATGTATTCATAATATAAAATATATATAATATCATATATATATATAAGTATAATCATAAATAAATCATGTGTGTGTGTATATATATATATATATATAATGAAAAATACTTCCGTTTACATGAGTATTCAAGTAACAAGTGAATTACATTTTTTTATAA